CTTGATAACTCGCTCCTTCTCCTTGCGCTCGACCTCTTCGAGGTGGCTGTTGAGCAGCTCTGCAGCGCGCTTCATGCGGTGGCTGCTCGGGAAGAGGGTGATGCCGTACATCATGTTGTCGTGCGTCAGCCGCTTGCAGTCCGAGTGGTGGTGGCCGTCGTTGAGGCAGTACTTGCAGTTGATGGATTCACCATCACTGGCCGCCCTTGCGCCCTCGTCGACGTCCATTGGCGTGGTGGCCGCACCGACGCCCATACTCGCGTCTTGCCCAGGCGATGCCCTGATCATCGCTGCAGCTGTCTTGAGCTTGCGCACCCTCTCCATGGCGTCGTCGAGGGTGACGTTGCTCTTGATGATCTTCTCGCTGATCGGCAGCTTGTAGGCTGTCGGCACCACCTTGATGTAGGCGTGCTTGAGCGCTGTGGCCGTGAGCACCTCCTTCTGCGCATTGACCTTGCCAGCCAGACGCTTGAACTCGGCGTTGTTGTCCAGGGCCGACTTCTTGAGGTCCCAGGCGAACGCGTCGAACTCACGTTACGCTGAGAATTCGGCGAAGGCGGGGTTGGACTCCATCTTTGCCTTGAGCCTCTTGAAGGCCAGCACACCGTCGAACTCGTCGTAGGTGTCCTTGACGCCCTCCTCGTATTGCTCGAGGATGTACTTGGCGGAGCTGTTCTTACAGGCGAAGGCGAGCAGCGTGTAAAGCCGCTTGGCCGCTTGAATGGATGCCCTCAGCTTCTCCTGCTGCTTGTGCATCTGCTTCAGCTCTCCCTCCTTGGCCTCCTTGGTATACTCGGCGGTGATGACCTTGTCCTCGATCTCCTGCTCACGCGTCAGAAGCTCCTCGAGCTTCGTCTGCTGCATCGAGATAGGCACGTGCTCATCGAGCGCCGTGTCCCGCAGTAGGGCCGATTCCTCGAACCCCAGCATGGTGCGGAAGCACCGTACCCAATCAGGGTAGTCCTTCTCATCTCCGGAGAAGGTTGGTACATCGCTGGTGCTGAGCTTGATGTAGTCGCTCATGGTGATCGTAGATCTCGTGGCGGAGCTTGGTCAGGAGGCGAGGGGAGTCGACGGGAGTCGAGCGGCGAGTGTGGGGGTCTGAGGGAAGACCGAGGGAGGTCGAATGGACGATGGGGTGACGAAGATCTGGGCAGATCTTTGGCTCAGCAGCGACAGCCAGAACGATTTGCTGCGCCCATGTCGGTAGATGAGAGTGGCTGTGGAGGATCGCTGTCGTTGCCCGTTAAGGCAACAGATGAGCCAGAGGGACGGTTCACGAGAAGGAGGGACAGTTCGGAGTGCTCAGGGTTCTCAGCATGCAGTTGCATTACACGGCGGGATCTACCCCAACACTCGCAGCCTCTGACAAGGGAAAAAGAGGTGGAAGGGGCGACGAGGAAGGCTCAGCTTCGAAAAAGGCAAGTCCATGATTTGGATGACGTGAAAACACGATCAAAATGCTCTTCTGTGTGATTGACATGCGTTCATGCAGTCGACGGCATCTGGTCTACTTCGGGCTGAAACCACAAGCTTCTGAAGACCAAATGGCCATGGTCGGATCTGCCTTTGCCATCCTCCTTCTACCACTCATCGTCACACAGCTGCTGCCGTCCGGCCGTGCTGCGTCCTTCGTGGCCATGGAGCCCCAGCTCGTGCAGTGGGTGGAGGGCCACGGAGGCAAGGTGAACAAGGTGCAGATACAGAACGAGCCGTCAGATGACGCCAACGAAGTCATCAGAGGTCAGAGCGGGCAAAATGGATGAGGGGGTAGCCGGGCTGACATCCGCCCATTCACGGGAAGGATGGGCGGATGGATGTGGTGCAGGTTTGGTGGCTGTGGAGCCTCTGGCCGACGGAGAGGTGTGGGCGGAGATTCCTCTGAAACTCTGCATCACGTAAGGATTAAGGGCGGCCGCATGCCTGGCTGGCTGACTGACTGGCTGACACCACACCCACAGTTTCACTCGTGTGTGCGGCGCGGATGACGAGCAGTTCATGAGCACCCCGCTGGCCGCGGGTGTGGCGGATGTGGCTAAGGCAAGCGGTGACAGTGCCCTGATGGAGGAGCTCACCACCCAAACATGGGACGCACGGTATGTACACGTGACGTCTTTTGTGTGGACGCAGGCAGGCAGTCATGCAGTCATGCAGGCAGCCTTACAGAGACAGACAGGCCAACTGATGTGTGTGTGTATGTGATATGCAGGCTGACGATTGCCCTGCTGTATGAGCTGCGCAACACCACTTCCTCCTTCTATCGGCCTTACCTGGAGTCTCTTCCCGACCCACCCATCCTGCCAGTATGATCTAGACAACAATGGGTTCGGCGGGTCCGCGTGTGGACGTGCCTGTGTATGTGTGTAAATGTACGCAGGCTGATTGGCCCCGGGAGATGATGCCCTGGACTCCGGGGCAGGGGAAGGGACTGCAGCATGCTGTGTCGATGCTGCAGCTCATCGACCAGATCTGTTACGGCCGCATATCGGCGCTACTCAAGGCACTGCCGGCAGACAAGCGATCTCAGGTACTCACTCACCAGATGGATCTTGTGTCTGTGTGTGCGCATTCCCACCCACCTGTCTGTCTGTGCTGCCTGTGTTGTGCGGTGTGTGTCTGTCTGTAGCTGGAGTTCAGCGAGGCAGAGTACAATGCCGTTCACCGTCTGGCGGTGACGCGATCGGTCAAGGTCAACCACCCCACAATCGGCGCCGCGGTGCCCGCCCTCGTGCCCCTGTTCGACATGGTCAACCACCACCACTCGCCCAACGTCCAATTCATCTCTGCTGATACTGACGAGGATGACAAGGGTGACGAGGACGACACACAGATGGTCCTCATCGGTGCCTCGGGCCCCATCGCGGCAGGTGTGCCTCTCAGCCACGACTACGGCCTCTGGGGAGGTGAGGAGGGATACATCGCCCAATACGGGTTTCTGCCCCCCGTGGCCGCCGAGCACGCCGAAGAAGAGGCGGCCTTCCGTCTGGGCACGATCGAGTTTCTGGAGGACCGTGTCAAGGACTATGCTGACCGCCATTTCCCCTCCCGAGCGGCCGCCATAGAGGACCCCCTCGCCATTGACTGTGCGTGGGCGGTGGAGAATGTGAGGGCCATGGAGACACCCTTGCTCGATGAGCTGAAGCTCACCGTGCCTAACATCGACCTGAGCGACCCCGTCCACAGTGCGGCCGTCAAGCTCATTGCCAAGTGGACGCGACGGCAGCTGTTCAAGATACTGGGCTACCCAGAAAGAGGGGGCCAGCTGCCCGGGGAGGGCAACGAAAGCTCGCGGTATGAGGCCGATTTCACGCCCTTCCGGCCTCCCCGACCTACTCTCTCCCCTGGCCAAGCCACTGGCTGACTTGACTGATGCTGATACAGACATGAATCGGCAGACGGGCAAGCAGGATTGGCGTTTTTGGTGTTTTTGCGGTCGGTCTCTTCGTGTATTGTGTGTGTGTGTGTGTGTGAATGATTAGTGTGTGGGAAGGGAGAGCAGAGGTGAGGGATTTGGCCAGGCTTTTTCCAGTACGAGAGAGGGCGAAGGTTTGGTTTGTTATGCCGTTTAGGTAGGTAGGCACGACATTCTTTCATAGGTCATACGGACGGACAGGCGCACACGGGAGGTGACGTATCGTATCAGCCAGGCAGTCAGTCAAAGTCAACACAGCAAAGCAGCAAAAAGTGTCGGTCTGAAACAAACAATGAATGGCCCCTCCCTGCCCTCCCACAACCCGGCACACACTTCTCCCCCCAGCCATCACGCGAGCGCATGCACAATACCAAGTGTCGATACTCATGCCGACAGCTATGTGGTGCCGTTCTGCATGCCATTCAGCGCTGCACCACTCCCCCCCTGTGTGTCGGCGCCCGTGAAGCGAAATACAGTCGGCACAGCGATGGATGACAACGACACACCTAATCGACGGCAGGCAGACACGAACACACAACGCACACACATTGATGAGAGCCATCACAGGTCACATGAATGAATCGGTATCCAGCTCACCCTCTCCGAATATGCTGCTGATGCTGCTCCCCACACCAGCGCTCGAGCACCCGCTACCAGACCCACCAGCCGCCGACCCGAAGATGCCACCCCCACCACCGCCAGCACCAGCAGCCTTACTCTCCTTGCCTCCCCCACCGAACAGACTGCCGAATGGCGGTGCCGCTGGTGCACTGCGATTGGCGTCCTGGATGTGGGTGTTGTGCTTGTGCTGCTGGTGTTGGTACATGGGGTGCTTGGCGGCGAGGGTGGCGCCCTTGTGTCGGCCCTGGCGGATGGAACGACCTGAAAGGTGACGGGTGGTGGATGCAACGCAACGCAGGCCAAAGGGGATCACATGTATGGGCACATGTACCCTTATTGAAACTATTGTGGTTGTGGTGCATGCCGTGTAGTTCTTCAGCGGCAGGAGAGAAACCATCACCAACACTTACACCTGACCACACACACCAATGTACAGACAACAAACGACGCACATCCACACCAACCGTCCTTCCATCCATCCATCCATCCATCCATCCGACCGCCTGCGTACCTGCCTTGCCGTCCTCCTTTGTGTCTTTGGCCGGCGCAGGTCCCAGCAGCCCAGCCCCATCTCCCGTCAGCCCCCTTGTCGGCACCGGTCCCAGCAGCCCCTCCCCGCCCTTACCCCCCTTACCCCCAAACTCAGCCGGATACCCATACGGCTCCGGCGACACCCACTCATCCCCCATCAGACGCCGACGCACCGCAGGCGAGACCACGGCCTCGCTGCCATGGTCCCTGGACGGCTGCCACGGCCCCGCCACGTTGGGGAAGCCGGGTGGTGCGTATGAAGTGGCGATGCCCTGCTTGCCCATTTCCTCCACCGCCCAGCACTGGATGACCCGACGAGCCGTGTGGTCGGGACGAAGGTCGCTCAGTTTGAGGGGCATGGACGTCATGGGCGAGCTGCCCTGCATCACCCCCCACACAGCCATTCCGAGCCTCCATTTCTTCCGTGCCATGTGTGCGGAGGGAACAGCTGCTTACACATGTGTTAATGTAGTCTTCGATGGCTGGGGCGTCATAGGTGTTGTTGCGTGTCATGCAGGGCCGGGAGGGGATGGAGCCGGTGAGGGCGCAGCGTGGGACGAACGAGGGGACGGACGAGGAGATGTCGTTGGTCCATGCGTGGAGGGTGGCCTCAACACATGGGATGGACAGCTGAAACACCGACGCCATGGAAAGATAGAGCTAAACCTCGCCACACAGGTAAATCCGGCTGGGACGGTTGGGCGAACGTTAACGTCTCTGGATTCCTTCCCAGTGGCTACATTCGTACTTCAGGCACACACGAACACTCATTGCATGAAACAACGAATGCATGTAGCTCTTGCACACGCACAGTCTAAACAGGCAACACACAATCGCCATCACCCACAGAGACACATAACTCGCTGCTGTGTGGTGCAGGCAAAGTGCACGGCAGACCAGTCCCCTGGGCCTGCCTGGTCGTCTGCTGAGTCAGAAAAGGCACACATATGGAAAGACACGCACCGAATATCTATGGACACGGGGGTGCAATAGAAGGATCAGCTCTTCGCTGAGAGGGCAACGAACATACTCACACCTCATTCTGAGAGCACGGCAAACAACGCAAACAATACACACATCCTTTGATCGTTGGCGTGTGGCCCGGCACTCGTGAGGTGCAGACAGACGCACGTACCGTCAAGAACTTCACCTCCATATAAAAGTGATCGTGCATCTTCGGCTCCCAATGAAAAATCACATTTGACCTATACTTGGGCGCAATCATCTTGTCAAGCTCCTCAGACACCATTCCGATCAGAATGGAATGCTTGATCAGATGTACGTCATCCTTCGAGCTGACCACCTTCAGCCAGTCCGCATCAGGCCCCACCCACTCACACGCGGCGACAACGTGGTCCTGAAGGCTCCGAACGTATGTACTGTTGGGGGGTGTTGGACGGGGCACGCGACCCAGGATTGCATATGCGATCTTGTTAGCCATCCGTCGAGCCACCCCGTCCTTTTGCAGTGCTTGGTCTTCTTCCGACATCTCCATATCACTCTGGCTGACGTTGATTCCGAAGAATCGCATCTCGCGCATCAGCTTGCGTTTGTCGACTGAGCTGTCGATGAGTATCGGCGTGCCGTGTCGGTAGTAGTCGACCACACAGGGGAAGAGAGAGGGGTCGGCGTCGATGAAGACGGGCTGGCCTTGCTGGATCTGCTGGTATTCGGCCGTCGACTCGTTGGTCACCAGCTGCCCCAGCAGCGTGTCGGGGTGGCGTGACAACGTGGACTTCGCCACACTGAACTCACGACCGCCGACATTCAAACGCACGAAGCTCGTCATCTGCAGAGATCAACACACACAGATCAGCAACGATTCATGGGCAAGTGACAGTTGTATTTGCTGACCGTGGTGGGGTGCACTGCCTGGTAGGCCAGTAGGGAAAAAAGGGCCATCAGGAGGGGAAAAGCTCGCACATCTCTGAGCTAAGCGCGCAGAGCTTCTGAGGCCAGCTTTGGCTTCTGGGAAGTCTATTAGCAGCAGTCTGTTGTTGACCGTCCCCATCCATTCGATTTTCCGCCATGTCAGAGGATCCGTCGATGACGGGAGCTGCCAAGCCGCTCTGGGTGCAGTTCGTCGACCCCAACAGCCAGAATCCCTACTTCTACAACGTCGCCACAGGCGAGATGTCATGGACAGATCCAGAGGCGCCACCCACAGCCAATGGACAGCCCACTGAGGCAACGGGAGAGGGCGAGAAACCGGCAGGTGAGAGATGGCATCACGCAGGAAGGCTTGATGCATGAGACACACTGCCATTCATCCGCTCTCTGTTGGTCAGATGCTGCTGCTGCTGGTGAGCCGACGGCAGGCCACGTGTCGGCGTCTGGGGACGACGAGCAGGGTGGGGGCAAGAAGAGGAAGAAGGACGACGCTGCCGATGCCGACTACGAGTCCAAGTACCGATATGATCCCATTGTGCTCGAGTACGAAAGGATACCCACCGCGGCGCAGCTGGGCAGGCCTGCCAGGAAGCAGGCGCAGGCAGAGTTCAAGAAATACTCGTACACACAAGGTGGGTGGGTGGGCAGAGGAGGGAGAGGCAGAGGGCGAGGGAGAGAGAACGACAGGCACAGCCAGCCAGCCAGCCAGCCTGCATGTGGCCACTTATGTGTGTATGATGGTGCAATGATTCAGGTGCTGAGGACTACAACATCTGGTACGGCAAGTACGCAAGCGACCGCTTCGACCGAAAGGAACGCGAGCCGGCCTCCACCAGATGCAACCCATACACGTGCGCACCGCACCGCACCCACGCAGCGCGCCAAGCCAGGCCAGCATATGAACCCATCTGTGTGTCTGCTCAGTGACTCTGGTTGGACCAAGGCCGACACGCAGCCCGAAACCGAATTCCCGGCCTTCTGCTACTACTTCGCCAGGGTACGCGGAATGGGATACCCATCCAATCTCTCACCCAGCCACAATGCCCCCATGTTATGGTGTCGCCTGCCTGCCTGTCTGTCTGTCTGTGTGTAGGGTTGCTGCATGTTGGGCCGCGAGTGCCGGTACTACCACCGTGTGCCGACCCGCGAGGACAACCAGCACCTGGACAACACTCACGACATCTTCGGGCGCGAGCGGCACATGAAGCACCGCGACGATATGGGCGGTGTGGGGACCTTTGAGAAGGACTGCAGGACGCTCTTCATCGGAGACCTCAAAATGGACCGGTGGGTGGGTAGCTCAGCTCATCGGGGAGCCAGGGAGCGAGGGAGGGATGAGCATATAGGTTTCTCATTCACGTGTGTGTGTTTGTTTGTTTGTTTATGTCAGTGGCCTCCCTGATGGGTATGCCGTCTTGGAGGAGAGCGTCAGGCGGAACTTCTCCATGTGGGGTGAGTGAGTCGGGGGGCAGTGAATGAACGAACGGACCTAAAGCCCCTTCATAACTGACTGTGGTGTGTACTGTCTGTCTGCAGGTCCCATTGTCCATATGCGCGTCATCCCCAACAAGAACATCGCATTCGTCGAATACGAATACAGGTGGGTAGCACTTGCACGCCCTCACTCACTTATCCACACCCATACATCCATCCATCCATTTGCCATGGCCTGTCTGTCTGTGTGTGTGGGGGGTGGGGTTGGGTCGTCAGGGCTGCGGCCGAGTTCGCCAAGGTGGCCATGATGGATCAGTGGCTCGACAGGAAAGACGAGATGATCACTGTCAAATGGGCATACGACAACCCAAACCCCAGGTAACACAACACAACACACCATCACACAGCACAGACACCAACCCACGCGCATCTCTCCTTCCCCTCTCCATCGCGTCCATGCAGGGCTCAGAGAAGTGACGACAAGGATCTCAAGAAGGACTTTGACGCGGCCGTCGATCGCCGACTCACAAACATACAGGACACAATCGGCGGCGCTGCGGTAACATTCCCACACACAACAAACAGACCAAACCCACGCCAACAGATGGATCGAACGCACATTCCCCCCTCCCTCTCCCTGCCTGTGTGTGTATGTGTCTATCTATCAGTCCCAGGGTATGTGGCAGGCAGCCCAGATGGAGCACACTGTGCGTCAGAAGCAGGCGGAGCTCGACGAGCAGGAGGCCCGGCGGGCGGCGGGGCTGCCCGTCAAGAAGAGTGTCAGGGAAATGGGCGAGACCGTCACGGCAGCATACCCCGACACATCAGCCAACTACATGGCGGTGAGAAATGCATACCTATGCCCACCACGACGAATCATATACCATCCTCTCTGTTGGCTGGCCGTGTGTGTGCAGCCAAATGCGGCTGCTTTGGCCGCCATCCACCAGCAGTCAGTGCAGCAGCTGAGCCAGCGCGCCGGCCCGATGTCCAAGGAAGAGGTGGAGGAGATCGCAAGACAGCAGCAGACACTCGGAGAGCTCAACAGAATGGGCCAGGTGAGTGAGCATGGGGAAAGATACTTGTGCATGGAGCTGCTCCATGCGTGTGTGTGTGGCTTGTGCGCAGGTGTTGAGTCGCATCGACCAGATGAGTGCCAATGACTTTTCTGTGGACACATCGGCACTGTGACGGATGGAAGGAGACAACGGTGCTGGCGATGGCGTGGCGATTGTTGTTCTGCGACTGGCTGTCCTCTAACCACCCCACACAATGGTCCACTATCCATGCTGCTCACTACGAATAGGGCACGCTGAAGTGCTCCATTCTTGACAGCCGCCTGTGAGATTGCTACGATGAGTGAGATGGTGAATGGGCAGTGACCCCGATGGGTTCGTGTGTTGCTTTGGTTGTCATTGGCCATCAATGCATGAAGGGACACGGTTGAGCTGATGCGTCATGCATGGGTGGGCCTCGATGTGGCTACTGATTAATCGCCTCAGGAATGAGAAGCAGCACTACTTTGAAGCGCAAACATACACACGTTATCCATAGCCGTGCAGCTAGTCAAGGTCTCACAGGCAGACAAGCGGCATTAGGAGGCCTCTGGAATGATGGACTGTCTTCTGGGAAGTGCCCACCGATTATACCCGATCTGTGGCCTTCCGTCCGCCACAGGATCCTCCGACCAGCCGTTCCAGCATGTAATGTACATGGAGACGGTGTCTGTCTCCTTGACGATGGACTTATTACCTGAAACACACACATGCACACGTGTGTCTCTTGTGCTCTTCTTGCACACATGGTACCCATCAGGTACTCCTTGGGAATGACCTTGACGCCGTTACGGTTGAGGAGAGACGTCAAGTGGCATGTCTCCTGCATGGGGCTGCGCCGAAGTGGGCGGCTCGCATGGAGTGCCGATGCACGCTGAAGGCATCGGGGGAGAGAGAGTGGCAGACGACTTGGCCTTCGAGTAGACGCTTCATTAGGACATTGCTGCGATGTGAGCCTGAAAGCGATGAACGGGAAGCTACTTGTGTCTTGTCCTGCCAGACTGTAGGATGCCACCAGCCCTCGGTGTCGTCTTCGTCGAATATGAGCGTCAGGGGCCCCTCCACCGGCTGGCTGTAATGCCGACACATCTGGTGGAGAGTGGTGGTGCGGTCGATGGGGCACGGCAGCGTCGTGTTCGGGTCAGACGCGAAGGCGGGGCCCGACACGCCCCGCTCCCCGCCACTGCCACTGCTGCTCTCGCCGCCCTCACCGTTTTCGCCCCCACTGCCGGAGCTGCTGCTGGCTGTGTTGCTGGCGGTGGTTTTGGTGTCGGTAGCGGTTGTGGCTGTGGCTGTGGCTGTTGTGTCGAAGCAGGGCCTGACAATGCAGGCGTGCGGCCTGAATGGGTTGTAGTCGTCTGTAAGGTCGCCGATGGTGGTGGTATTCGGGACGTAACGGGAGAGCGCCTTGCCACCGTTGGCCTTGCGCATCCGCACCAAAGTGAGGGCCGGCCCTGGATCGGGCGACGTCGTGCTGCTCCTGCTGCTGCTGACGGCTGCAGAACTCGACTGACTCACACCACACACATACACACACAATGGACCTCTGCTTGCTGCCTCCTTCCCACCATCCCAATCCTTACCCTGGGTGAGCATCTTCTCGTGGCAGCATCGCCCATTGGACTCATCACTCCAAACCCACGGTCGCCAAGGCCGCCCAGGCCCACCACATTATCGTCGCTGCCGTCCATCAGCTCCTCCTTGACGCGCACGCCGCCGAAGAAGTCCGTCTGCGAGTCGCCGCCTATGATGGCCATTGGCTCGAGCATATCGCTGTCTGGACATCCAAGGACGTTGCTGCTGTCGCTGCCTGGGCGGGATGGCCGGCTGTGAGAGGGGTAGGGCTGCCTTTGGAGGGGCGGGGTGAAGGCTGACGACATTGTCGATATCGGCGGAGACGACTGGTCCATCTGCTAGAAGGGCAGGCAGGCAAACAGACAGACAGACAGACAGACAGACAGAGAGCCAGTGCATGATAGGTGCTGGGTGCCGTGTTGTCTCTGATCTCTGATCCGACCTTGGTGCCGTCGGCAGCAGTAGCGTGTGCCTCCGTCTTGACGCCCCTGCCGACCGGGCTGTGAGGCAGCGCTGCATTAAGAAGTGGCCCCTGATCGCCCCCTCCTTCATGCTGGTCGCCTTCCCGGCCCCCCTCCCCCCCGGCAGCACTGGACCACCCAGAGCCACCCTGCTCGCTCATGTCCTTGCCGTGAAGGCCGTCTGGCGTCGAGGGCGCCAACGCGGGCAGAGGGGCGAATGGGGGCTGCGACCAGCACTGGTGCGAGTGGGAGTGGGGGTATGGTGGCTGCGAGGAGGCGTTGCCCGTCTGTGGTGGCCCCCTGACACCACTGCTGACGCGTGAGGACGCGGCTTGTCGTAATAGTGCTTGGTTGTTGCTTTTGTACTGTGGGAGGAAGGCGTTGAAGGCCTCTGACCGTTGCAAGGGGTGCATCGTCGACATCAACGTCGTCTGCATCTGTGACTGAAGGGGAAAGAAGAGACAGAGTGCGTGAGAGCGTATCTCTGCTGTGCTGTGCTGAGTGTGGTTTGCTGCGTGTGTTTCCGGCGCACATCGGGAGTGAGTCCCCGGTCCTCGAAAAAGCCAATGATGTCGCTCGCGTGCAATTTGGTGTTGTAGTCTGATACACAAGAACACAACGCACCATTTATGTAGGCAAGCAAGATGGGTGCCGCACAGCACAGAGAACTGTGTGTCTGACCAGGGTGACTGACGTCTTTGATCTCGAATAGCTCCAGGTACTGCTTGCCGCTGCCCCTGGTGCTGTCATAGGTCTTCAGGATCTCTGTCGGTGATCAACACCAATACGGCACATGCACACGCTGAAACTAATATTCCCTCCCTCTCTGCGTATGTGTGCGTGTGCCTGTGTGCCGCCCGTCTCACCGAGTCCGGCGAGCATATGGTCGGGCCCCTTGGTGGCGATCATCCCAGGGTCGTGCCACAGGCTCATGTGCTCCTTGTAGAACTTGCTGCTGTCATAGATCCGCCCACACAGACACACAATCCGCTGCGCCCTCGCCGCCGCGTTGTCGTCCATCAGGGCGTTGCCGAACAGCCTCCGTCTGTTGCACGAGAGGCGCTCCCCCCCGCCCCCGCGGCACAGATGGCACTCGCCGCACGTCCATACCAAGAAGGGAAAATTGGCGTGGAGGCGGACGCGGCACCGCAGGCTGCAATACTGGTTGGATCGGCGGGTCTGGAAGATCCAGCAGTTCTCCTCCTCACTATAGTAGTCGCTGTTGGGCTGCGCCCTGCGGAAGGAGAAGTTGTCATTGGCGATGTCGCTCCTGCCCTGCTCCTCGTGCTTGGTGCGCCAGTCCTGCCAGCTGCTGAGCCCATTGGGCGAGCAGAGAGCGATGTAGCCTGGCCGGCCGGCGTCGCGCGAGCGCTTGGTGATGAAGGGGGGTGGGTGAGGGGGGCGGGAGGAGGTGGCTATGAAGGGGGGCGGGTGAAGGGGCAGGTCTGGGGCAGGCAGACTACCATGGTGGGACATAGACACCACGGAATAGCAAATTGCCGCCCTGCCTCCACCTGAAATGAACACGTTCACCAGTGATGATTGGCGAGAGGTGAGCTGGCTGCCTGCTGATGCCCTGTTTTGGTGCCGCCGTTAGTGTTTTTAATAGTGTGCCGTGCATCACGTAAACACAGCGGCCCCAGTGCTCGGCATGGCTCTGTTTGCTTGGCATCAGTCGTTCTTGTGCCGCCTACCACGATGTTCTGAAGCGGACGCATCCATCACTGCACTGCGCACACACGATCCATCCCTCTTTGCGATGTATCATCTGCGACCGACCCCGCGCACACCGCGACAACCGCCTCATGGGGCCGTCCGCCTAACAGCCCACCGAGCGGTCCGTCAATAAGCCCAAGGCCACGCCGGCACCACATGCGCCCGAGTTCAGGATCTTCAAGCTCAAGGAGCGGCCGAGCAGACAGGTGCGAGAGCCTGTGTGGCGGGGCGATAGATGCCCACTGTGGCTGTGTGTGTGTGTGTATGTGTGTAGGCTGCAGTGGGGCCGACGGCCCGGCTGAGGAGGCCAGGTACCTCAGCACTATTTTGAAGCGCAAACATACACACGTTATCCATAGCCGTGCAGCGAGTCAAGGTCTCACAGGCAGACAAACGGCACTAGGAGGCCTCTGATCGATTAAGCTGATGTACACGCGAAGCGACACGGCGAGAAGCGTGCACTCAAAATACAGATCCCTCCCTCCCTCCCTCTCTCTTGTGCGTCAACCCCCTTCAACAGAGAGACAAAGCGGGCAAGACAGACAGACTTGTTGCCCACAATTCATAACAAACCGGACTGCCTTACACACGGCTTATGTCTCCACTGCACAAGAAACAAGCGAAGCACAACCCACTCATACCAGCTCCCAATCATCCCAAAAGTACTCTACACCCATGAAGGTTCCGAGTGTGTCCGTGGCTTCGTCAGCATATACAATAGCTTGTAGGGCATCGAGCAAGCAGCTGAAGGATGGCCTGGCGTTCGGATCTGTCCTGCGGCAGGCATCGTACATCTCTCGCAAGGGCGCAGGCACTGCCTCGGCGATGGTCGATGGGGCGGTCAGCAACTGAGAGTATCCTCGCCCGCACACAACAGCAGCATCTGAGTTTTCTGAAGGAGAGACACACACATAGTGACGGACATATGCACATACAATCAGGGAAGCCATGCCTTTAAGCGTCTGCAATCAAGTACCATTAAAAGGCCTGCTTCTCGAGAAGACCTCCCCCATGATCATACCGAAGGAATACACATCTGCCGCCTCCGTCAAGCCCTCGCCACGAAGCACCTCCGGCGCAGTGTAGCGAGGATCGCCAGTAGAATCGACTCGGGCAAAGAGGGCCTTCTGTGAGGCCCGGCGAGGTGGCTTGTGAGAGCGGCGATCTAGGATGACGGTTGGAGAGACTGTGAGGTTGGGCTGGGCTGGGGGGGCTTTGAAAGTCGAATTGCTCTAAATAAGGAAGAAGAAGAACATGATGTGCACAGCCTAAATCAAAGACATCCTTACGGTCCTTACCTCGACCCATGCATCGTCGAATCCGCCAATCATTGGCGTGTTGTCTTTGTTGATGAATATCGAGTCACTGCGATACAAGACCATTCCAGATTGTATTGCGGTCCCTCTAAAATTTTCCCCTCCTCACGCCCTCACCTGCTGAGTCTGCCATGGATCACACCACATTTGTGCAGCCTGGTCATCCCCCTGCAAATGCCCCCGAGCAGCTCGGCCTTGCCGAATGCGGTCATGCGATCCACAGCTGACCTCACTCCCCACCCGCAGCAACCAAACACACGGCCGACGCCCGCCTTCTTGCCGCGTTGTTGTCGGCTGCGTAGGAAGGTAGACAGTCGGCTCTTTTGACGCTCGAAAACAAGGCTGAACTTGGTGAAGCACTGACAGTGACATGACATCGTATGCAGTGAGCCAGTCATCATTGCAAAGCGGCCCGCCTTGACTGACCTGGCTCTCCTCATTGGCCTTGCCATTTGAATGGCGACGATGCTTGATGAGGGTCTGATGCACAGAGACAAATATAGCGACAGGATGCCGACAGCTAGCATTCACAGTGTCTGCAGTGTCTGTCTGTTATTCTGTTATTCTGGTTACCGTCTTCCTTTCTTTGACCACACCCAGCAGCCTCACGACATCCTTTGGTGCCGCATCGTCCTCAAGATGGCACCCCACCGTCAGCAGTGCCTCAAGCTCCTTCCTGAAGGCAGCCATGCTGTGCTGTCTGCATACAGACATAAACACATAACTTGAAGCCGCAGCAGAATTTGCATGTAGCTCAACTGCCGAAACTGACCTGGTCTCCAGATCAGCTTTGAAGCACTTCACCGTCACCGCAATTGACTGTCTCCTAGGCAGCGCCCATCGATTGTACCCGATTTGTGGCCTCCCGTCCGCCACAGGATCATCCGACCAGCCCTTCCAGCATTCATTGTAAATACTGATGGTGTCCGTCTCCTTGACGATGGACTTATTACCTGAAACACACATGTGCACACGTGTGTCTCTTGTGCTCTTCTTTGTGTTGTATTCATGATACCCATCAGGTACTCCTTGGGGATGACCTTCACGCCGTTACGGTTGAGGAGAGACGTCAAGTGGCATGTCTCCTGCATGGAGCTGCGCCGAAGTGGGCGGCTCGCTCGGAGTGCCGATGCACGCTGAAGACATCGGGGGAGAGAGAGTGGCAGACGACTTGGCCTTCGAGTAGTCGCTTCATCTGGACATTGCTGCGATGTGAGCCTGAAAGCAATCAACGGGAAGCTACTTGTGTCTTGTCCTGCCAGACTGTAGGATGCGGGCTTGCCTCTTAGTGTCCAGGCACCTTGTCACCCTTGCTGATAACCACCTTTTGATGATGTCGAGAGCTTTACTGTCTTGGGCTGGGCAGCCCCAGGCCACCAAATCTGATACATACAACACAAATCCTCTACCAATGAGAACTTTGCCCTGTGTCTCGCTTGTGTTGTCACCGTGTTGTGTCGCGTTGATGAAAGCCACCCCATCGATTGACACGCGACGCAGGGCGTGGGCGGAGAATGGTAAAGACACAGATTGCAGGAACTGGCTCAGATGTGTCGGCGTCCACGTAAATAGAAAGCAACAAACAAAAGAAGGAGAGTCAATACAATCGACCGGCATCCCTTGCTATGTGTGTGGTACTCACTCAATCGCCTTTGCCGCTGAGGCCTCGGCGATTATGCTCTTGGACTTCTCCTCTGTTGGCGCATTGATGTAAGGTAGCGCCAGAAAATCCCTCTCGTAGTGCTCGCCAATGTCAATGAAGCCGTCCTCGTTTGGCGTTGGCATTGACTCGTATTTTCGCTGCCCCTTTCTGTTGCTGTCGTTGTCGTGAATAAAGACGGCTCCGTCGCGCTGCAGCTGTCGATAAAATGACTGCTGGCCGACTGACATTTCACTGTCGCTTGAGCGGAGGCCGGAGAGAGACGGTGGCTCCTTGCTGTCATCTTTGCCGCCACTCAAGAATCGGACACCAGCGAAACCTATCCGTGTTGCTTGGCTTCGGACGAGGAACTTGGGAAGATGGAACCGAGTCGATGGACTGAGCTTGGGGGAAAGGGGCTTGTGCATGGGGCTGCTGAGCGACTCACGGGTTGACGCTTGAGAGAGGAGTGCCGTGGGGCCACTGCTGGAAGGCAATGGCTGTCGATAGGTGGTCTTCAGGGGGGTGCAGGGAGATCTGCGGTCGAAGAGGAACCGGGCTCCTTCCTTTGTGATGGTAATAAGATGACCCTTGGGATGCACCAGCACACCATTGCCTGAGTGGAAGCAGGTAAGCACAGGAAATGAGAGGGCGAGAATCGATGTCCATATGGAAATGCGTTCATTCACCGCTGGGCAGATCACTCTCGAAGTCACCAAAGTATGTCACCTGCACTGCGTCTTTGACATGAAGCCACGTCAGTGCCCCCCACCCATGTTTCTTTGATGACTCGAACTCGCCTGAAGAGGTGTGTGTTCAAAGACACACGCAAGAGACGAGAAGATGTGTGAATGGATCTCAATCATGGCTATGCATACCCTCGTATAAGTGATCTGCGGTCTGCTGCACCGCCCATCCGCTCCTCTGCCCCACTGCCAGAGGGCCCTGCACCGATGGGAACCAAAGACCACATCCACGGCAAAAGAGAGGCTGACTGTGTCGCCTCACCAGATACGCCCCGTTTTCGTCGATTTCCAAGACACTGTCGGAGCCGAGGAGAGGCTCGCGACCGGAAGCGGCAAGGCGCTTCCCGCTGATCCGGGGCCGCTTCACGCGAGGCTTCTGTGGGCGTGAGGGTGCCTGCGAGTCGACGAGGAGGTGAGCACGTTGTGCTCGAAGTTCTCCGCACGTGGACTGCCCGCCGCCCATCGCAATTGAACAAGTCAGATAGAAGGAAAGTCCCAGACACCCCCCCTGCCCCCATCGTAAATGCAGCTCCTCCTGATCGTTCTCATCTCGCTTTGCCAACAATGCCTCTTCGATGTGTCGATGAGCAGATGCACTGTACCTCAGAGTCGCTCGCATGCCCCTCATCCATGCAGCACGACACATGCAAGGAGGAAAATCTACAGCGTCGTCAGCGCACGTGAGTTTTGTTGAACCACCACTGCCTCCCGCATCTCGATCACCCGTCCCCACACAGCCACATTCTGGCGAGGCATGCACACCGGCAGAATGACGCAGTGCTGTGTGTATGTAATCAGAGACGCTGGTTGACGGCAAGTACGCCCAACACATGAAAAACCCAAGAAGTAGGGAGACATCCACAGATCGCTTTGCCAAGTCGATGCTCTCGCATCGCGTGTTGCCAGAGTAACCAAGTGAGAGGACCGTTCATTCATTCATTCATACCTTTCTTTCAATAACACACCAGGCAGTGCACCGATCGAGTTGATCGGCAGAAAAACACACAACTTGGCACACGTACAGCGCATCCATGCATGGCATGCAGGTGAAGCACCGTGTATGTATACATAACACTATGGAGAAATGGAGGCCTATCCAGCAGCAGACCATTCAAACATCCGACTTGGAAAAACACACACCAAAAACCAAAAAAAAAGGAAGAGTTGCGGTGCCTCCTTTCTTTGATCCCCCTTGCCATTTCACCATTCATGCGTGTGTGGAACCGATTCTAATTATCACCGGTTGTGTGTCGGCTGTGTCTCTTGTATGCATCTGTCTGTCTATTTGGCGCCAGTGGTAGTGTTGCCCTTAGTGTACGCGGGTGATACGATCTTGCCGGCATCGACGATCAGGTACTCCTGGCGCTGCGGCTTCCCGTCGAAGTAATTCTCAAGAATCTGACACACACAAACGGGCAAGTGGATCATCCAGTCAGGCACCTCTGTATGTTTGGTGCTCGTCCTGACCTCCTTCGTCCCAGCAGCGTAACGGGCTTGTGCGTCGAGTGTGGTGCCGGAGTAATGTGGAGTCATGCCGTTCCACTGCATTGTGCGCCACGGGTGGTCCTTGGGTGGAGGCTGCCCACACCAAAACACAGAGTCAAAAAACGATTCAACACACACAGAGAGAGAGAGAGAGAGAGAGAGAGACGTGCACGTGTGGGGACCTGTGGGAACCACACGTCGCCCGCATAGCCAGCGACATGACCCGCAGCAACCGCATCGGCCATCGCCTGAGCGTTGACGATCTTGCCTCTGCAAAGGGGGAGACATCCATGCATCCGTCTCTGTGCAGCTGTGTGTATGTGCCGAGCAGACCTGGCAGTGTTGACGATGTAGACTCCCTTCTTGCATTTGGCGATCATGGCACTGTCGAATAGGTTCTCTGTCATCGGGTGCAGAGGGGCATTGATAGTGATGACATCGCAGACCGCCAGCATGGACTCGAGGGTCGCATGATACGTCACGTTCAACTGACACGAGAAAGAGAGAGCGGCCATGGCAAATCCAGCGAGCCCCCGGTGGGCATGTTGCGTGCTTACCGCTTTCTCGTCTTCGGGCGATAGACGCTTGAACGGGTCAAAGTAGTGCAAATGCACATCGAACGGCACGAGACGCTTCAACACGCGATGACCAATGCGACCTACAGGCACACACACACTCAGACCCACCAGTATCTGTTACGTATTGTGTGATCGTTGGCAGGTCTCCCCCCACTTACCCACGGCCACAGTGCCGACGTGTTTGTCCTCCAAGTCATAGGCGCGTGAGGCGCACTCGGCGATGTCCCACCCGCCGCTGGTGGCGATCTCGTGGGAGGGCAGGTAGTTGCGGACGAGGGAGAGAATCATCATAACGACGTGCTCAGCCACCGACACCACATTCGAACCCGTCACCTCTGACACCACAGCAGCAGGACAGCACACCGTACATCCATCATGTCACCTCTGCCGTCCGTCTATTTGACTTACCGGCCACGGTGATGTTCTTCTCGCATGCAGCGGCGAGGTCCACGTGGTCGCTGCCAACACCTGCTGTGATAGCTAGCTTGAGGTTGGGCGCCTTGGCGACTCGCTCGGCCGTGATGTAGGCGGGCCAGAAGGGCTGAGATATCACCACAGTAGCGTCCGGGAGATGCTTGTCTGTTGACACAAGCAGTAGAGTGTAGAAATGACGGACGGTCATGCGTGAGATCTGTCAGTCTCGACCCACCCAGCGTCGAGTTGGGGTAATCCTTGCTGCTCGTCACGACGAATTCAGCTCCCTTGCTCTCCACAAAACTGCGCAAGCCCAGCTCATTCTAAATCAGCACAACCATAGACACAGTGAGTGACACCAATCGACGCTGTGTGTGCGCGTTCCTACCTCGACACAGCCCAGAATGCGCTTGTTCTCACGGCCGGCGGCGCCGCCCTTGTAGAGCACAGAGACGACCTTCTCCTTCATGCTGGTGGCGAACGGGCGTGTGCAAACGGACGTTCTGGGGAAGAAACAGGAGTGAAGGGCCTGGCCCGAGAATCCGAATGATGAAAGTGAACGTCGCCACATCGGATCTTGGCCGCCGCGTTCCCGCTTTCTCTCCCTTCCCGCGCCGGAAACTTCGAGGAAGGGTCTTCTGTGAAACAAAAAAGACTATCAAGTTCTCCCCTCCCTCCCTTCCCCCGTATGGGATGCGGCAGGAGCCGCGGCACACCGAATGATGCCGATCCCTGTGAGCCCCCCCTCGTGTCGTGCGCAGAAAATGGTGCTGAGGAGTCCCCTGCCGCACCGGCGCCAAAGCTGTTCTTGATCATCGACGAGGGCCGAACTGCAGAAGAACTCCGAGGCGATATGCGGCAGGGGTCAAGGGAACAGCTGTCCCTTGCAGCCGCCGCGTCAGCATCAGCGCTTCTCTGCCCTGGCTCTGTCCATAAGAAATGGACAATCGGGCGGCATCTCGGTGAAGGGGCTTTCGGCGTGGTGAAGAAATGCGTCAGCAAGGAGACGAGTGAGGCCTGTGCCGTCAAGATCATCCCAAGGAGCATCAACCAGTCGGCCGAGGTGTTGAATGAGGTGCGCCTGTTAAGGACGCTGCAGCACCCCCACATCATGCAGTTTGTGGACCGTTTGTATATGGATAATGACATAAGTAAGTAATTGATTGATGAAGCACAGCTGTCGACACGCAGACACCGATCACGTCACGTGTTTTGGTCATATTAGAACCTTTATTGTGCGGTGGAGTTGCTCCAAGGCGGCGATCTGAACGCATGGATAGACCGCGTCCACTCACCAGCCGCTGCTGTGAGTCAGGGCGGGGCTCTCGGTTCCGTCCAGTTGGAGAGGGAGGCGGGCAAGCACATTGTGCAGTTGCTTCGAGGACTTGACTATCTTTACTCTCTCAACGTTGTGCATCGTGACCTTAAACCAGAGAACCTGATGCTGACGGACGAGGGCGCAGAGGCCATACTCAAAATCATCGACTTTGGTCGGTCGAAGAGCCAAGTAGAGGGAATGGATTGTCTCTCATATTGTGCCCCTCTCCCTCTGTAAACATTGGTCATGATTAAGCAGGCTTGTCAGAGCAACTGTCGAGTCCTGACAAGGCATCGCGGATCGACACCCCTGCCTATCGCGCGAGGGTTCCAGTCCACTATGTCGCCCCCGAGCTGCTCCAACACGTCGTGTGTCTTGGGTCTGACGTGTGGGCCGTTGGGGTGATTCTGCACCAGATGTTGCTGAACACACTGCCTTTCAATGGGTCCACCGACAAAGATGTGCTCATTCGCATAGCCACCTCGCAGCCACGGCTGTTCACTGACCCAGAGAAGGTCAGACTGACAGGCAAAACAGACCTTGACCCTTGGATGTGTGGCGCTATCTCTTGTCGCATTGCAGATGGCCAAGATGTCCCCTCTGGCGCTGGACTTTCTCCGTCGGTGTCTGACCAAAAACCCGTTTCTGCGGATGTCCGTCAGGGAAGCCCTTGAACACCCATGGATTCACGCCATCGTCTCGCAGCGTAGGAACAGACAGACAGACAGACAGACAGCTGACAGATGGGCAGGGCAGGGCTCCCTGAGACATGTATGCATCCCGTGTGTCTCGCTTGTTTGCCTCCAGATGCGGGGTTCTTCACGAGGTTGTCCTACAAATATCCAGCTGGCCAACACAGCCCGCTCTTCCCCAGTGCCGCACCGCAGGCGCACTCAGACACACCTGAGACAAGGCAGGCCAAACAGGTATACGCAAACAAGACGTACCCACTGACTTCTCTGTCTCCATCTGTCATGATCTCAGGTGGGCCAGCCCACGGATCTCAACAGGCGTTTGCTGCAGCGGCGCCGATCATCTGACCCAGGCATCGGTAAGTCCTTTTTCCCCCCATCTGAGGACGTGGAGAGCTCCGGTGGCGCCTCTGGGCGGGGAAAGTTTTCGCAGCAGTCTGATGGAGAGGGAGTGGTGGATGACACACACGAAGCAAAGGGTTCGGGGGATGCGGTCAATGACGCTGGGAGCATTGTTGACGCTGTAAGTAGTGGGAGCGGAGGAGAGACTGAGGTGATGCTGATGGGCAGACGGGTCGTGGGGGGCCTCGCAAATGTCATTGATGAGATACGCGATGACATCAAACTGGAGGCGCTTTCACTGCCAGTGAGACACAGTCAAACAACAAGACAGTGGCGCTCTGCAATACGTGTCTCTCTCAGGACTACGTGTCACAGGTAGATCCAACCGCAGAGGCGTCTCCTAGGTCGGCTGTGTGCGTCGTCCGTGTGGATAAGGACAAACAGCAGCAGCAGCAGCAGCAGCAACGTACAGCGAGGGGTGCGTTGGACTTCATGGCTGACGCGGCGGTGCTCGATGGCCCAGGTCGGGCTCTGACAGAGCTATCGATGCAGTCGGTACAGGCGGGCATCGCAATGCTCAAAAACTTCAAACAGCAAGTCCAACAAGAGTCCCAGACACAGGTGTGTACGTGTCTGCCTCTCTGTGTCATACGCCTCTCTCTCTCTCTCTCTCTGTGTGTGTGTGTGTGTGACAGGGCCGCTCTGCTGCCTCTGCATCAAGCAGCAGTGTCGGCGGTGATGGCAAGGGCATTGCCGATGCCGGTGGGATGTTCATGGACATGTCTCTCCTGAAGCGTCTCGCCCGCACCCCCGCAAACAGGCGGCTCAACGCTGATGGCACCCCCAACACAGACCACCTCATGGGCGGCCGCCCGTCCCACCAACAGACCGCCAGCAGGCCGCTGCGTGTCAAGGCGCTCCGAAACCCTCCTGTCTTCTCTAAGGGCGACTTCCGTCGCGATGATTCACCCGTCATCGATGGCGGCTCTGGCAGCTCGTCTGATGCTGACGTGCAATGGACGCCGGCCTTTGGCCGGCGAAGTGGTGAGAGAGACACGGAGGAGAGGAAGAATGTGCTGCACCGCATCTGAATGGATGAATGTGTTGGTGGGCTGGTGGGTGAATGGATGGGTGCGTGTATACGTAAGGCAAGAGAGAGGTGGGATTGTCCGTCTGTTGCTGTGCTGTCCTGTGATGTCCTGTACTCATAATATCAATGTCAGTCACTGCACCCCTTTTCGCTTTTATCGACGGGCGATTGATTCAGCCTCCCTCTGCTGTGCGCCGCAGTGCGCGTTTGTTGTCGATGTGATGGACGCTGACTGACCTTTTTTGAGCACTGCAGTGCGACATCAGTTGGCATGCAGTTAGTTAGGGAATGGAGTGCGACACTTTGATGCTTCTCGTTTGCATCCTTCCTGCATTTAATGAGCTGCGCGTACAACCTGTCCTTCCGGTGACAACAAGAATATATCCACACACAGTGTCACGTCACTCACGACCACTCCTTAGTTTTCTGTGGCCCAACCCACGCCTCCGAGAAAATTGCTTCCTAGACACGAGAAATCGACACACTCGCACGTGAGAAGCAAAGAGCCACAGGTAGGGAGGACACTCGCCGCCCATGCCCTCACACCTTCCCTCTCCGAAACATGCGCAGCAACAGCTGCCGGCGCGAGCCGCCCTGCCGTCTCCTCTGCTCAGCCTGTCTGCGCCTCTCCTCCCGCTCTTCTTCCTCGGTGGTCCTCTCGCGGCGCATCTCGATGATCTGCCGCTGCCAGATGCGGCCCACATAGGTGCCGATCCCGCCGCCGGTGAAGGTCGCCAGGCGAGAGGGGTAGTTGGTCGGTCTGCACCAGTTGAAGACGATTGGCCCACTCACCGCTCTGTCATTGACCAGGAACGGCTGCAAGGCAATGCAACGCACACGGAACGGACTCGAGATCGCTCATAGTGGTGTTATTGGTGTGTGTGACGTACTCACCAGCAGGGCGTTTGGTGCGCATCGGAGGCTGGATCCATTGCGGTGACCACGGCTCAGCACCACCAGCGAGCCAGAGCCGCCAGTGGACACGCGAACGAGGAGAAAGAAAACGATGAGGCCGAAGGCTACGGAACGAGATGATGGTGGATGAAGACCTCCTCTCATGCACCCCCGACATGTTCTTCTTCTGCAGAACAGAAGGTCACAGATGCGCCCGAGAGGGAGTCGCAGATGATCAGTGCCGCTGTGTTTACATGACGATCCATCAGATGAGGTTTGGCGGTCTCTTTTCCCTCCTCTGGGTCTTTCTGTGCCACACCAGGGCGCTGTCGTCTGCTCGGGTGCACCGGCAGCCGGCCACCTTCGCCAGCCGTTTCCCTCTTGTCCTCTCAGGCGCCGCAATCCATGTGCAGGTCAGTGATTGCAATGGAGAGAGATATGGATGACATTCTCCAGGTCTGTACGCATCACACGACAGAGTGGCATGACATTACTTTTCCCCTTCGGCAGATCGCCGTCAGTGATGGGGAGCATCAGGAGGGATTGATGGGGCGGCAGAGTCTGGGCGAAAATACGGGTATGCTGTTCGTCTACAGCCGGCCAAGACGGGGCGTCTTCTGGTGGGTGTGCGTCAACACATCGGACCATTCGTGGGCGCGGCGCGCCACACGTCGTTTTTCTTTGTTTTGCACTGGTTGGGTTGCAGGATGAAGGACACGCCCCTCGACCTCGACGCTGGCTTCTTCGATACCGCGGGAGTGCTCACTGATGTACGTTTGTATGCAGAGGGAGGAGGGAAGACCGTAAACGGATGCAAAAGGACACACGGCCGAATTGCCTGTGAGTGTGCGTGTGTGTGTGTGTGTGTGTGCAGATCCACCACCTTAAGGCCAATGACGAGACGTGGGTGTACAGTGACCGCAGCGACGCTAAAATGGGGCAAGCATAAGCAGTGCAGGCACCGACACACACGTAACAACGTCCCTTTGTGGGCATGACATGATCGATCAGGCTAGAGATGCCTGTAGGTTGGTTCAAGCAGCATGGCATCACCCCCGGGGCAGTGTTGGAGCCGGAATCCCTCCGCAGTGCACTGCAGGCAAGGGGGGGCTGAGGCAGGACTCACTGTGGTGAAGTAGATGCATGCATCGACATGCATCGACGTCTGTCTGTACGTACGTGTGTCCCCGTCATGCATGACGTCGGTAGTCTGTCGGCCTGCCGTCATATATAAAACACGCCACAAATCGATCCACAAGCTATGCACCAAACCTCGCCATGCATGTCTGTCTGTCTGTCATTGAATGACCCGTATGTCTGTCTATATCTATAGAAACGCGAGAAACGAACGATTCGCCCCACATGTGCACACGGTTAGTACACGTACGTACGCACGCTACACACAACACATAGACGGACGTACGTAGTTCATGTTGATGGGGTGCACCCCCTCACTCCCGGCCCGTCTTGGCCGCTGCGATGAGTTTCAAGTTATCCGTGGGCGAGTGGTGGTGCTGGATGTCCTCGGTGACGGCTGGCGACGACACGCTGGTTGGCACCGTTATGCTCGTCTCGCCCTGGTCGATCTCCTCTACCGGATCAACGTTCATCTGATAGTGACCAACACACCATCCATCACACATACAAGCGTCATGTACCACGCACCTCGGCGTGTTTGTGTGCCATGCTTACGAATATGATGTCGTCTCTGAATGCGACCTCCGGTCCGCAACTGTACCCCAGTACCTCTGCGTGGTGCTCAGACTTCAGGCCCTTGATCTTGTCCAGCTCCTCACTCTAACCACACACACATGGAGACCGACAGACATGGTTGAGTTGACACACACACACCTGTGCTGTCTGTGTATGCCGAACCGACCAACGGACGTACCGAAAAGTTGGTGAGGCATCTGGCCAGGTCGCCCTCGAGCTCTGGCGCATCGTACCGCCGCAGCGCCACCGACTCCATCGATATGAACCGACCCTGATTGATGGACAGTATAGAACAGGCATGCAATGCATCCACACACACACACACTTGCAGCCGGCCGTCTACGTGTGCAGACAGACAGACGCGCACACCTCCACTTTTTGGACCCCCACAGCGAGGAGCGACTTGTGCTGCAGCAGCACCGCCTTGGCCGCACCGTCATCAATGTAAATCGTACCAGACACCTGACCCACACACGACACAACCCACACAAAGGCCCTCCATCCCTCCCTCCAGCTGTCCCCCTTCCCCCTGTCTGCGTGTCTGCCCAGCTCACCGGGAGAGTGAGTATCCATCTCCTGCTGAGGCGTATAGACTGGCTGCATTCGGCTGCCCTGAAGATGGTGCCCATGAAGGGGTAGTTGCGCTGCAGGCTGGTGGGTGAGGTCAGCAGCCGCAGCCGCAACCGACGCTGAGGCGACTCGTCTTCCTCATCAGGCAGACCATCCTCACCTTCTCCATAGTCGGCAGCAGCGGTCGGGCCGTAGCCGTTGACCTGAGGGGCGGGGGAGGGGCAGGGGGAGGCGGAGAGGGCCGGGAAGGCACCGGAGGCCTCGATGTGGAACTTGGGGTACATCTGCACTCACATACAAGGGTGTGTGTGTGTGGGTGTGGGTGTGCGTGTTGGTTGCTCTCCCTCTCTCTCTGTGTCTCACCTACCTGTTCAGTCGGGTCGGTGTGGTCTCTCTGTTGCGGAGTGCTGACGTCCTCCCCATTGACCTGCAGCCGGAACTCGGGCAGCTCCAACTGCTGCTGCTGCTGCTGCTGGTCGCCTTTGTTCTCAAGCATCAGGTAAGGGGGCGAAGGGGGGCGGGCCCGGGCCTCGGCGAAATCCAACATGTCCAGAATCCGCCTGTGTATCATGCAGAGCAACAGAAAGAAAGATCCATCCATCCATCCAGCCAGCCAGCCAGCCAGCTCGTGCGTGCGTTCCCTACTGGGGCTCTTGTCCGTTGCAGAGCCCCGTGTGTATGCCGGTGGCGACAGCAATGCGGGCGGCCAGGATCTTGGTGCGCATGCCGCCGGTGCCGAATGCCGTGCCGGCGTTGTCGTCCTGCGTCATGAGTCGGTGGAGGTCGTCGATGTTCTCCACATAGGGGATGGGCTTGGCGTCGCTGTGGCTGCGGGGGTTGGCCGTGTACAGGCAGTCCACGTCAGTAAGCAGAAACAACCTAACACAACATAAGGACAAATCACTCGTTGGGTCATGCGCAAGTGAGAATTCCCAGCTCACCCACCAGTGTGCCGATATGGTGACGGCAAGATAGGCAGCCAGGGTGTCGTTGTCCTGACACACAATCAGTCACACAGACAGGCAGACAGACAGACAGACACAGGCATGTCACATCAGATCTGATTCTGCACACAGATCAGTCAGACGCGATGCTCCCTCCTCTCCTGCACTCACGCCGAATCGGATCTGGTCGTTTGTGAATGCGTCGTTCTCATTGACAATCGGCACCACACCCATACGCAGCAACTCTGACGATAGACAAGCCACACACAGCACAGCAACCGTCCGTCACCTGTCTGTCTGCCTTATTGCATGTTTCCGTGCGCGAGACCTGGCTGACTGGTGGCTGGGCTGACCGAATAGTGTGGCCTGGAACTGGGCGTAGTTCTCCTTCTCGAGGAACCACTGCCTCGCCAGCAGCAGCTGCGCCACCTTCTGGTTGTGGTACGCAAAGGCGTCGTCGTACATCCGCTGATGGACGACACACACTCACCACAGAATGAATCAGAATGCAATCCACACTGCCCATCCATCCATCCATCCAGATGTCTGTCCGTCCGTCCGTCCGTACCATGAGCCTGCCCTGGCCGATGGCGGCTGCAGCCTGCTTGCCGATGACTGTTGACGGCCGACTCATGCGCATGTGATGGCACCCAAGCCCCACAGCACCCGATGACACCAACACCACCTGCAGAGCAGACGCCACGCCCAGAGAGCCGATAGAGCCTCGATCAGATAGATCACCTGTCTGTCATTCCATCAATCCATGCATCCATCCCTCCCTCACCTGAAACCCCTTGAGTCGCAGGTCGCATATGAGTTCGACCAGTCGGCCCACGTTGGCGAGCGACAGGCGGTTCTTGCGCGAGTCGAGCAGCGTCGATGTGCCCACCTTGATGACTATCAACAGATCCTCCGTAGTCGTCGACGAGGGGAACTGCTCGGCGAAGGGCGAGAGGGTGCGGGCCATCTCGTCCGCCGCGCCGTCGTCAGTCCGGATCTTGAGGAGCATCTCGCCCCGAGGACCTGCAACACAACGCACGCAACCAGACGGACACCAACACACGAGGTCAGGGAATCTGATCTGATGCGCTGCATTGCATGCGGTGCCTTGGTCGTGTCGTGGATGGCTTGCTGTGGTGTTCTGTTCTGTGTGACGGACCGGTTTCGATGGTCTGCACTCCATCGTTTTCGGTGGTCACCTCCGGAGCACCAGTCGACTCAGGTGCAGCAGCGCAGTCGCCGTTCGTCTGCATCACCTGACACCTGATAGATAATCACTCCGCCTCCTACACGCTGTAAGGAGAGAGATTGAGTCCCGTGAGAGCCTCACGTCTGCGAGCTTAGCTTCTTGCATTGTTGGGATTGCCCTTAGCTGCTCCTCTTTCGTTGTCGGCAAGTTGTGAGTTGCTTGAGGATAATGCATCGATTGGAGATAGTTGCGGCTCACGTGAGCGTCAGCCCTGCGGCCTCTGCGTCATCCCCCTTGTCGGACAGGGAGGTGATGGAGCAGCTGCAGCACCTCATGGACGCAGACAACCACGACAACAGACAGCGCATCTTCAGAATCGCACGCCAGCACAGGGACCTCTTCACGCCAAGATTCAACGTCGCCCTCGCCGCCCACAGAGGCAAGCACAGCACAAGACAACACCTCAGGGCAGAGAGGAAGGAATCAGTGCCTGCCGTGTTTCTGTTGTGTGTTGGTGACTGGTCGGTCAGAGTTGGCCTACAGGCGGCTCAAGACGCTGTGTGAGGGCGGCGTTGTGTCTGTGTGGGACTTCATCCGCAACCCGGCGAACGTCTTCACGGTGCACGAGGCAGTGGGCATTCTGGGGGACCCCGGCACCGCCACCAAGCTGACGGTGCAGTTCAACCTCTTCGGCGGCACGCTGCTGCAGCTGGGGACCGACAAACACCATGGCATCATACCAGATGTGGACACGTTCGATCAGGTGCGTCAGTCAGTGCATTCAATTCATTGGTAGTGTTGGGGGCTGGGGGTCGTACGACGACTGACTGCGTGTCTGTCTGTTTGGCTCTGTGTGTGTGTGTGTGTGTGTGTGTGCAGGTGGGTTGTTTCGCGTTGACTGAGTTGGGGTTCGGCAACAATGCGGTGGAGATGCAGACGACGGCCACGTACGACCCACACACAGACGAGTTCATCATCAACTGCCCCACGCCACTCAGGTGGGCAAACACACAAACACACGACAAACAAAGTCAACACACAAGACGAGAAAGCCTTCCCTCTCTCTCTCCCTCTCTCTCCCTCTGTGTTTGTGTGTGGCTGACAGCCAGAAGTACTGGATAACCAACGGGGCGCAGCACGCCCACTGGTGTGTGGTGTTCGCGCAGCTGATTATCCCCAGCCTGAGCAGCGAGAGCCAGGGGGTGCACCCCTTCCTCGTCCGCATCCGCCACAATGACCGTCGGGTGTGTGAGGGCGTCACCATCGAGGACATGGGATTCAAGATAGGCAACAACGGCGTCGACAACGCCAAACTCCACTTCCAAGACGTACGTGAGACGACCAACCAGCCACACACATCCCCGCACCCGGCCGTCCATCTGTGCGTGTGTGTCTGTCTGTGTGTGTGTGGTCAGGTGCGCATTCCCCGTGAGCACCTGTTGGATCGTGTGTCGACGGTTCACAAGGGCGGCAAGTTCGAGAGCACGGTGCAGGGCCGCCGTCAGCGTTTCGTGATCCAGGCTGACCAGCTGCTGAGCGGCCGTCTGTGCATCGCCTCCATGATGCTCGGCCAGACCAAACTGGCCCTCACGATCGCCGTCCGCTACTCCCAGAGCCGCCTGTGCGTGGGCCCCACGGGCAAGAGCGACACGGCCATTGCCGAGTACCAGCTGCAGCAGCAGGCCCTCATGCCCCTCGTCGCCGCCACATACGCCCTCACCTTCTTCATGACCGAGTGCAAGCACAAGTACGCGCAGCTGAACGCTCTGCGGCAGGACAAGGCCGCCCCCAAGGACCAGATCGACGCCCTGCGGTACGAGGTGCTGCTGCTGTGCTGCGCCATCAAACCCATGATGTCGTGGCACGCCGAGCGCACCGCCAGTATCTGCCGCGAGAGGTGCGGGGGGCAGGGCTACCTCGCCTGCAATCTCTTCGGCGAGGCCATCACAGGCGCACACGCAGGCATCACGGCGGAGGGGGACAACCGCGTGCTGTGGCAGAAGGTGGCCAAGGAGCTGCTCGACGGGGTGCAGAAGGGCTGGAAGAACCGAAAGGGGCTCGCAGACACCGGGGCCGGTGAGGGGCCGGTGAGGGTGTCGCGGCTGCTTGCGAAGCGAGAGGTGATGAAGGGGCGTGCGCTGGGTGCGTCGATGCTCAAGACGGGCGGCAACTCGGGACAGATCTTCGAGGTGTGGATGCGGCAGGAGGCGCGACTGGTGCAGGAGCTCGCCGAGGCCTTTGCCGAGAAGCGGTGCTTCGAGGCCTTCGCTGACGTCGTTTTCGACACCAAGATGCGCAAACTGCAGCCAGGTACCATTCCATTCACAGCACCCCCAACCCGACTCCCACACACCACCTGCCCGTGTCTGTCTCTGTCTGTGTGTGTCGTCCATCCATCCATCCATCCATCCATATATATATCAGTGTTGCTGCCGTTGTTGGATCTGTACGGCCACATGCTGCTGCACAAGGACGCGGCTTGGCTGGTGGCCAACTCTCTGCTGACGCCCCAGGAGGTGGGCGAGCTGCCCCCCGAGCAGGACCGCCTCATCACCCAGACGGGCCAGCACATGGGCGAGTACATCGAGGGCTTCAACGTGCCCAAGGACCTGCTCTTCGCCCCCATTGCTGGCGACTGGGTCAACTACAACGACCCCAAGAGACCAATGCACGGGTGGGTACGCAGCAGGGAGGGAGGGGAGAGGGATGTTGATGGGACCTACACACACACGTGTGTGTGTGTGTGTGTGTGCAGGGAGCTGACCGTGTAGCTAAACTTTTTCTTTGATTTCTCGCGGGCGGAGGACAGACAAGGGCGGCGGTGATTGACGATCACGAAGCTGCCTGGTGCCCTGCCTGCCTGCCCCTTTTATTCAGTCAGCAGTTTCGTGTTTTCTTCCCACAGACAGGCCGATGACGCGGCCATATATCCCCTCCTATGATCCGCAATCCTGTCTGTCCCTCTGTGTGCATATCAACACTCACTCGCCTAGCTGCCTGCCTTAAAGAATCAGTGGCCACCGATACATCACAATGCCTCTCCTCTCTCTCTCTCTCTCTCTGTGTGTGTGTGTGTGTGCCCCCCATTGGTGAGAGAGAGGCACCGACCGACTCCCTCACTCCCGCCCACACGCCACGGCATGGCGTCCTTTTTCCTCCAGTATATGTATCTGGTTGTGTTTTTTCCGGCCGTCGTGTGTGTGACGAGAGGAGACGAGAGAAGAGGACACGAGAGGATGCCTCCCAGCCGGGCGTGGCGTGTGTGTATACCCTTATTGAGAGCATTCATTGTTCGATCCACCTGCCTTGCCGTGTTGTCGTGACATGGCGGGCGGTGCTGGGGTGTGGTGTGATGCGTCGTGTGCGCCGATGGATGGATTGATGGCTGTGTTTTCCGGTGGATGGATCCTCCTCGAGCCTGACGAATTGATGGGTCGGTCGTCTTGTCGCCTGGCTGCTGCATGGATGTCCCCCTGTTGTGGTGTGGTGCTGCCGTATTGTGTGTGCACGCGGTCTGGTGTGAGAGTTCGTCGGTGTCTGCTTCGTCACCGCACCCTCGGCCCCACTTGGTGGCAGGGGATGCTGTGTCGTAGCAGACGCTGACGACCTCTCACACAGTCTGGCCCAAGTGGCGGGTACACTTGTCGTGAGAGTGGCGGGTGGGGTTGACGGACAAATTGTGTCGTGTGTGTGATAGTCATCATGACGCAGTCAGTGGCCCATGTTATGTGCACGTTGAGATGCAATGAATACGTACGTCACCGCAGGCAGCTTCTTGCTGAAGTTCAATATCACTTTGCACCCCCACTCCCACACCCTCATCACACACACACACACACACAAGCTCACGCATCCATCCGTATAAGGTCCGCTATCTATCGTATCATATTGCCCCCTCTGCCACCCGCGCCAGTGCGGCAGCGGTGTGGTGCTGCATGTCCGCCTGTTTGGCCAGCAGCACCTTGACAAACGACATCGACGGCTGGTGGGGGTAGCTGCGACACAGAGAGTACCACACACGCAACCTGCACACAGACACACACACGAGACAAGCAGATAGATACAAAGGCCAGCCGGGCTGCGAGTGTGTTGTGTGGTACACACCAGAGCAGTCTGCCTGGCGGCAGTGTGCTCATGTGTGGGTTGACGGTCTTGGTGAGCACTTGCAGGCCGCACACAAAGAGGAACAGGCTGGGGAAGGTGGCGAAGATCAGATCGATGGACTGCCGCTGCGGATGGGGGTCGCCCTTCTTGCCTGCAGTCCATACGCAGCCATCTTTACACCACGCTGCTGTCTCCATGCGACACGTCTGTGTGTACCTTTCCGCCCGGCCTGTCCGGCTGTGTCACCCGGTGGCTTCAGAAATATCGACAAACACAACCTGAAGCCCAAACCCCCGGCCCCACACATCCGCTGCATCTGTAGCCTCCTCCCTCTCTCTGCAGTCAGTGCACTGGCATGCTCACTCTGGTGCACATCCCTTGGCGGCGCTTTTCGTCCTGAAGTTGTCGCTCCGCTGCCCATAGCGCACCCCCCAGACCTGCTGCAGAGACACCCGCCGTGGAAGCACTACCTTGGCAGCACCCGGACCGCAGCGCCCCACAGCCATTCCCACGTCATGGGGCGGGTGTGTGTGGGGGTGGTCGCCCCTGCCCGAAGTGAATGGGGAGAGGTGTGAGGGCTGCTGCTGCTGGTGGGTGTGGGTGTGGATGTGTGGGTGCGAGAGGGATCTGTGGAAGTCGGTGGTATCGTATTCGAAGTGCGAGTGTGAGGGGCGGGGGAGGGACGGGGTGTGGTGGTGGGGCTGCTGGAACAGGTACTCACGGTGCTTGCTCCAACTGCAGTCAGTGACAGACAGACAAATGAATGGACAGACACATTGCGAGAGGTCTGGAGCGGCTGTCTTGTGGTGCCTACCCACCAGAGAAAGCCGTCTTCGACACGGAAATAGCGTGGCGCCTGATGGATGGACCAAACGACCGACCGATGCAGGCACACAGACAGACAGAGACACGGAGGCTCCTGGACTGGTCTGTCTGACTGACTGACCACTCCGTTGGTTCTGCTGTGCAGCTTGAGCACTTCGAAGCCCCCCTCCAACGCGTGAACGGCTATATGCGTCTGATATACACGACAGAGGACAGACAGGATGGATGGCTGCTGCCCATCTGTCTCCCCCACACAGACAGACAGACAGACAGACGGACCGACCCCCCCCC